GATCAGAAGAGCTCTTGTGACTGCATATCTCTCCCACAGTCCTTCTTGGGAGCATTAGATTAAAAAATAAAGTCAATTTTCTTGGCTTTATGCCTCTTTAAAACTAGTCCAAAATTTAACCATAAAAAGTCATAATCTGAGAGTTTAGTGTGCTGCCTCTGTGATCTTCAGACAGGTTACTCTGTTTCAGAGGCAAACGCAGATACTCTGAGGTGGCTGGAAAAAAGAGAGTAATTGAAAAGCAAGTTTTTGCCTGCCATGGTTTCTTTGAGCAAATGTAGGAAGAGATGAGAGGAAAAAAATTATTCTTTTAAATAAATAATATCAATCTGAAGGATACAAAGCAATATGAAATTTCTGATCTTTTGATTAAGAATTTGATTTCAACTCCAATGAAAGCAAAAAGAAAATTATCTAGATTTGGGGTCTTTCTCATTTTTTTGCTCTGTGCCTGCTTTCCATTTTACCTCCTTTCCACTGGAGAAGGAAGTGAAAGAATTACAAAATCAAAAGGTCTTCACTGATCTCAGCTGAAATGAAAAATTTCTCAGTATTGATTCATGACAATTTTTGGTTTGCTATTATTGTTGTCTATCTGTGTCCATGTGGAGTGTGTGTGCATTTCTGATTCTTTTTTTGCTGAAATCAGAACATTTCAAGAAATATTACTTTTCATTTTGCTTTTAGCTTTTCATAGGAAAAATTTCTATTTTCAGACAGCCTAATAATGAGAGGAAGTAGAAAATACTTATATTTCCCAACAACAGGAGCATAACTTATATGCTTTAGAGCTTACACACACAACAAACGTGTCTCTAAGACCACTTCACCAACACTGTGTTTTAGCCCTTCTTTATAATCCTTGTCATGTGATGTAATGACAAGAGCACATGATCATCCAGGTGAAAGACTTGCTCTTTGAAAACCTGACAAGAAAATGAGGCAATTGCATGGACACCATCTCTGACACATTGCAGACAGCAGGAACAAGGAGGAGAGCAGGAGCATCCCTTTTGGTGGCGGTATGGACGTTTAGATTGGCTTAAGCTCATTGTGACACCTTATGTAACCTACAAGGCTAGTTTTGTTAGAAGTCTAGTTTCAAGGGCAGTAGAATGAGATAGTCACCTTCATAGGGGAGTTACAGTATTTTTAGTACAGAGTTCATATATTTTACAGAAATTGTTTTATATCAAAGTAGAGATCAAACTCTGATCCCTGTCCCATTTAAATATACTGACTCTAATACTTGCATTTTGTCCTCATGCATAAGTGAGCACAGATGATAAAGGTAAAGACAAATTTTAAATGGTCTACTGAGCAGATCTTTCGACTTAGATGGCAGTCCCAGGAAGGCAACCCATTAGCCTTCTGAAAATAAGTAGGAATAATAATAAACATCCTATGCCAGAAAGATTTAAGCTAATACAATCTAAAGTACAACTGCTATTATTTGAAGGCAAAGTTACTCATTTAAACTAATGAATTTTAAATGGTTTCTTATTAATAAACCAAAAAAGGTCAAATAGAGCAGAAAATACAAGGAACATGAAATGTGTTATGTCATTGAAAAAAGTCAGCTGGACAATCTAGTAGGGATCAAACCCAAGTTGATAGCATGTCCTCATGGGCAGTGCAGTATAAAACAGGAAAGAATTACTATCTGCTTAGCGTCACCACTGATGATGTGAGCCGCAAAAATTAGCACAGAGGATGATATGTTTTACTTGTCTTTTTTTGGGGATAATGCAAGGTCTTCAGAAATCCCAATGATGACTAATGGTATAGGCAATAACCAAGGTGAAGCTCCCTTGACAGGTACCTAAGACTTAAAACAGCAGCAGCTGAGACAGCTTAAAAGGAAAAAGAGACAAAATACAATAGTGGTGAGCATGAATGGAGGCTAATACTGCAAAAAGGCAATTCAATTTATAATAATTCCTGCCCCAGGCTGTCATCTAAACCAAAAGGCATCAAGAAGTTCAGAAAGGGGTAGAACTGCAGCATAGTGCAGACTCGAAGTGGGGAAGAGGCTCAGACTGTGACTAAGAAAAGAGAACTCTGCAGAGCTGACCCTGCTTACAGGGGAACCACAGACAAGACATTCTTCTAATGAAACTTCCATGCCCATGGAGGTGGAGGGTCACTGATCTGATCAATCTGAAAATAGTAATGTGGTACCATAGACTGAGAGCAAAAACTTGAGTGCTGATGATGGGCCATCAGCTTAGATGGTCTTGATTTGTGTGGGTCAATTTAGTGTAATCTTTCAGCAGCATTATTTTAAAGCAGCCTTTCTCGACATCTCATTAGTCTTTTGTTATGATGACTGGTTAATCACCCATACACTAAGCTAAAAAGATAATTGGACTTCAAATACAGAGGCTTTCACTTTTAGGTTTAACAGAAAAGTGAAAGGAATTTGCACTGATAAATCTACTACTATTTTTCAACAAGCAGCAAATAGCCACAGATTGTTGTGAAAAGCCTCTAATGACTGATCAGGGATTTTACATACTAGTGTATAACTCAGTGCTATGAAAAATATCATCAGAAGTCAGATGTTCCGCAGGATGGACTGAAATGTTGTAAAAATTCTCACGTTTGCTACATAGCCATCATTGGTATCCGTCAATGGCCAGAGCCTGGGTAACCACACAAGCCTAAAGGCTAGAAAAGATTTGGTGGTAGTTGGAAACAGTTACACATTAGTGTTGTAGAGATGTTCACTTCTTGTGCACGGGATTCATTGTGACTGACCACATGAAAGCACCTGATTCTGCAGTTAGGCCAGCACTAAAGCTACGTGACATGAAGAACTGAAATTATTAGGTTATTATTAGGTTTGGTGCATTGGATAAAAATGCAGCTGGCTTAAGTCCATAACCCTGACCTCATTGCCACATCAAAATTATTAAGATTTAGTTAAGCAGTGTAATATTCAGGTTAATTCACCATAACAGGTCTTTGCAACTGATTTAGTTGCATCTACATTCTGTTAGCATATAGCATTCAGGTAACGTATTTTTAGTAGAAAGGTTTCTTTTGCATAGACTAAATTGTTTTAGTGGAAAGTAATTGGAACTTCTGATATCATCTTAATCACTCACCCATATATCCTATTATGAAGCAGTAATTTATAAAATTTTGCTATTATAAACTCAAAAGTCAGTGAATTTCTTTTTTTTTAAGATCAGTGAAAGTTTTAATTAAAGATCCCTTTTTGTTGCTATGAAAATGGTTTTGTTTTGTGACAGGACAGAGATTTGGTTCAGAAAAGCTATTAACTTAGTGACAACACTAGAAACATCAAAAGTCGTCAAGGAACAATTGAATTGATATACTAGACCTTATCACAGCCAGTGAATAGCAGGAAAGCCTTTGTGAGTCTCCATACTGTTCATAGCTCTTTCGAAGGGTAAACTTGGCATTGAAAATAAGGAGAAAAGTTTCAGGACCTGCTCAAATGTAAAGTGTCTTTAAGACCTTTCATAAGTGCTAAAACGTAACTGCCTTTTATTGAGAAAACAGGGTTTCTGATTGACAATGTTGCTTACTTATGAATGAGCTGACAAAAAGAACCTCTGAAATCTATTGCAAGGAGAAACAGGTTGACAGGTATGTCCAATAGAAAAGATAATCCTTGAGAAAATGTATTGCTAAAATACAGAGTCTAAATTCCACTTTAACTGTAATAGACTTCCCTGTGAGATCAGGAAACACATAATAGACTATGAAGCATCTTTTTCAGCTAGAAAGTGGGAATATTCACCTCCTTCAGAGTTACTATGAGAATAACCTCATTAATAACTGAACTAGAAGGCTCTCTGAGGGAAGTTGCTATGGGAATAAAATGTCAAATTTCAGTGGACAAAACTGTTTTCTCCTACAATAAAATTTACCAGAGTGATCCTTGGGTGAAGGAAAATTCTTTAAATGAAGTCACCAGCAAAATCCTCAGTGAGGCATCAGTCAATCTTATCCACATGGAGGCTTCTATAATGCCAAACATGACAGGGGAAAGCTAAGAAAACTCTTTGCTTTAGGCTTCTTTGGGTGGTGGCTCTGAGACCACTGTTCATACAGAGTAGGACTTCAGAAAATGCGTCTCAGTGTTATGTTAAGGGGAGATTAGGGACCCATGTGAATAGGATTTTGCCCAAACATCTAGACAGAGTATGAATTGTTCTCCTCTTTTTCTTCTAAATTCAGATCCCAAGAGATGAGGAGTCCGTCTCCAAAATTGGAACTGGATGAATTATGTCTTCTATTTTTAACCACAACTACAAATGAAACACTGGGGGCAAGTAAGGACACTAAAGGGTCAGAAAGATTCACATTTCAATTGAGATTGCCTCCCATTTATTGTTTTTAAACCTAACGAACCCCATGGGCTTCGAATGAATGATGCCAGTTCTAACTTGCAGCAGAAGTGTGCCTGAAGTGCAGAGCGGTAGGCCGGTTTTTCATTTGTCATTGTAAGATTAAAGCTCATCAGTTTGACAACAGTGATGTTCCCCCAGGAAAAACCTTTCAAAAGAAGTAGTCAAACCTGCATGTTTGGCATTTGAAAATGGTATCAAAATTGCAAGAATTTCAAGAACATTTAAGGATTGTTTCTGAAGATATCCAGGCATTTATGTCTCCTGGCTCTTCCTCATCAAAACAGTGACAAACATCAACTTGAAAAACAACCCGTATCTCTCAGGGCTCTGAGGACACTAACTGGCCTTTCTGGCCATGACCAGCATCCGCCTGCCCCACCACCACCATGCTGCCCATGGGCTCAGGAGGTCCATTGCAGCTCAGCCCTGGATCAGGCTGCTAGAAGCAAGCTGCATGAGAAAGAGCTGCAGGAGCCTGGCTGGGACCTGCCATGGCTTTGCTGAGCTGTGCTTCAGCTCAGTCCTCACCCGAACTAGATTGCAGGTACGTCTGTGCCTGGCCATGCACCTCAACTACCCTCTGGATCTTGGCTGACCCCACTTACTGTCACTGACCTGCTCTGCTCATCTGGCTTGGGGACAGGGCAGCTGCACCCTGCCTGCTCCTGCTGTACAGCAGCATTTCCAGAGCTACACCCTGGGCCATGGTTTTACAGCAGTGGGATCCAACTGTAAGGCTGCACAGCAGGAGCTGAGGGTAGTATGGGGGCTGGAAACAGGAAAAGCTGCCCTTCATTATGGAAAAAGGCAGTGCTTAGTTAAATTAACAGCACATATAGTGAGTACATTTAAGTGCCAGCACTCCAGTACAGAAGAGTTAAAGAAAATTGCAAGTATTCCATTACTGCCTGGCCACAAAGAAGCACCTCGAAATCCAGCAGAAGCTAGATGCCTCTTATACTAGCCAGATTTCATCAACTGTTTAAATAAAAGAAACAACTTACTTTTAAGAGGGTTGACCTCCTCCATTAACCCCATCCTCTAGCCCACCCATAGTTATCCATCCTCTGCAATTAAATGACTTTCACTATGTACTTCAGCACTCAAGTTGCATCTTACTCATAGGTCTTGTAAATTTTTAAAACGAAGTTATACTTCTAAAAAAAATAAAACCCATTTTAGGAATGGAACCTCAAATCCAAACCTCTGAGTTTCCAGAGGGACTGACCTGAATCTAGCTTTATAGTTCTCTTTTTCTGAGTTTTCTGGAGCCAAAAGGGGCTATTTTTTGATTCTGGCTAGGATGCTTACTATTTCACTGTGTGAATCATTTAATTTCATAAGAATCACTTTGCTTTGTCTGCCATTTTGGAGTAAAAGCAGGTCTCCCAAAGGTTTTCTTACTTACATGTTCAGGACCAAACTTTTTTTGATCCAACATGATCAATTTTCCCCAACTTCAGTTGAAGCAATGGCCTGAGTCATTAGTTAATATTAAAACACCTTTCTATTTTTATACTTCACTTTTTCTGACTTTTTTTCTTCAGGGTGTGTAGAAAGGGTAGAAAAAAAGACCTGATAGTAACAGCTATATTTAATTCATAAAGAACTTGCAGAATTTCAGTGCAACTCAAATGTCTTCATCTCAAGGTTTACAGATAAATATTTAATGATGAAATTGGTAGTTTTGGTACTGAGACTGAAAAAGATGGATTGACTGCTGTACATACAACGGCCACCTAACTGCAGAAGTTTTTTTACTTGGAGCTGGTGACTTATTCTCTGATCATTGCACTGCTTGCCTCTGGGAAATCCTTCCAGTGATGAAGTAAAGATAGTTTCAGCCTGATATTTCAGCCTGCTTATTTACACACCACAAGCAATTATGCCAAAGCTGATAGGACCATGCATTGCTGAAAACAATAAATGTGAATGAGGAAATCAGGGCCTTTGCCTTATCTATCCACTGCTAAGATTAGGAGTGAAACATGAAAGATTTAAAGCAAAGCAAACATAGGTACACTCACAAAACAAACCAAATCCACCTCATCTCCACTCCTAGCCTTTCATGTCAGCTGGCACAGAGGTGCCTGAGGGGAGGAGGAGGACTTCAGACCAGCCACAGTTCCCAAATTATGGTGGGGGGTTGGCATTAACAGCATTAACAGGTTAGTAGACTCTCTAAGCCACAACTTAATTTATAAAGATTTACTTTCTATCACCACACACCAGGAATAAATAAAAAGATTCATTTGATGTAGAGGGTGTGTAGCTGACAGATATTAATGGAAAGAACATAACTTCTAATTTTAACAACAGAAGTTATTAGCTGCAAAGCACAAACAAATAGTGAACTGCAGAGGATAAAATAGCAGAAGGTTTGTTAGTCTTAATTCCTGAAACATTTGGTGGTATTAAATGTGCTTATACCAATTCTGTATAATCACAGAAATAGAATCTCAAATAAGTTTAATTATAGATGTTATATGCAAATAATGAATATTGGTGACTCAGTTCTAGAGTTCCTTTCCACATACACTGGGTTTGTTTTGATGAGAGTAAAGTATGTATAAAAATATCTATGTATACCTAGAGAGAAAGAGAGAGAACTGTTCTCTAAAAATATACGTGTATCTGTATTATATTTTCTTAACTAGGATAAAATGGTAAATCGGTAGGTCAGAGCTTCTTCTGGCTGTTTATGAAAAGAATATTAAACAGCCTTGGTTTCTTCACAGTACAGAATGGAAAACCTTCAAAACAGCAAAAAAAAGTTTATGTCCCACCACCAGGACTATCTTTTTTTTACTTGTTATGTTAATCAACAAATACAGGTGGAAAAAGGACTGGAAATCAGCTTAATATCACTAAAGACTAGAAGCAACATATTGCATATGACAGTAGTCAGCAGTCTTTCCCAGGTGGTCTGCTGGACAGTATTTTTCTTTTCCAAATTAAAATGTAGCACTGCAGGAGGTTTTTTGCAACATCCAGCATATCCTGTCACTCGAACATCAGGATGTCATTGATCCACATATGTCTGTGGATCAAAAGATGTGTATGATCTACCTTGCAGAGGAAGGTGAGGAGGCTGAGAGCTGATCCTGCTCGTTAGCATTTGTATGGTCAAGGAAGCATTCAAAATTCTCTGCCTCTCACTGGAAACAATGAGAAAACTGAATGCCACAAGCAATATCTTTTCTCTGTAAGGTACAGCAACTACAGTGGAAGGGTCGCTTTCTATTAATGCTTTTAAAATCCATGCCTGTGCTCCCTCTGACACCTGTGACATAGACTGATGGCTCCTGGCTTAGGAGAACCAAAGGTCTGAAGTCAGGGCAGCACTCAGCATAAGTGCTTGAAACCACTGAAAACATGGCATTTCTTCACTACCGCATATTACTTAATCTTTTCTAAACAGCAGACATAACCTCTCCTCACGCTCAGAAAAGCCTTGTGAAAAGCCATTCAGAGAGAAGATGCTATCCTAGCAACAGCTAGAATTTGCCTAGCCACCAGACAAGCTCCCCTTGCACATCCTGCCTCCCACAGCCAACGTTTACAACTGCCCAGGCAGCTATTGCCTAGCTGCTCTCTTCTCCCGTTCATCAGTAGAGAGCTCCCTAACTCCAAAAGAATAAAGATTGCCCTGCTGAAAGTTTGGATCACTGGTAAAAGTTCTCTACCCTATGACTCTTTTCCAGCAAAATCTCACAGCACTTAGTGGTGACATTTTTGTTTAACAGAAGATCAATAGATCCTGCAAGTCTTTCAACACTGAGATTTTTGTGGAGAATTTCACACTAAAAATGTATTTCTCTTTCTAAAGTATTTTTATCTGATATTATTATTTGCACCATAAAACAATCTAGTTTAATAGTTTAGCTTAAAAACTTAAGCAAAAGACCTCAAAGACATGTCACTGGGCTGGAAAAGAGTTGGAAATAATGGCATAATTGGCATACCTTTGCTGAAAAATCACGTCAAGGCTGGGTAGAGAAGACTCTCATGAAGCTGCAAAAGACATCTGGATAGTCTGTTCCTCTCGTTATATCCAAACCATTCTCAGTAAAGGCTAACTTTGTTTTATAGCAATGCCCTGCACATAAAGGTGTGTAGCTATGTAGGTTCCATAGGCTAAAACATCCAACTATGAAGCTGGACTTAAAATAATAACTTTTTCCTACTTCTCAGAAAGTATCTTTTGATTAGCTTTGAGTTCAGCTTGAAGTTCTTTGACTTCAAGCTCTGTGTAACAGATCACAGTGCCTAAGATGTGGTATTGCCCCAAAAGAGTTTGCAGGCTTTACAGCTTGGACAAAGATTTATCTAAACCTAACCCCAAAAGGCATAAAAACAATCTTAATAACATAATGTGAAAACGATCCAGGGGGAAGCAGAGGATAGTTTCAGAAAGGTGCAAAGGACATTCAGGATTTGTGATTATATTGCATCTCTGTTTCACCAGGGTGGCTAAGAACAGTTTTCATCGCTCAGCAATGGAGGCAGAACAATAGCAAAAGGAAATAATAATTACTGGAAGGATTAACTCAGTTTGCATTTTTAGATCTTAAATAAGGAACAGCAGGTGTTCCCTTATCACTGCAAAAGTAGGAAAAAGAAGGAAAAGATTTTTTGTCCACTACAGTATATTGCCTTGTAGTATATTTATCTTACTTAATACAACAGTCTTTCTTACACAGAACAGTGTTAGCAATACAATGACAAAGCCAGTGGTCTATTTCGTTCACTGTCAAACCAAGCTAAAAATAACAGGGCAGAAAAGTACATCAGCTGTAGAACTTATCTAAAAGTTTCCAAATTTCAAAGAACTGGAATTAAAATAATTTTTTTAAAAAATTAAAAAAAAAAGAAAGAGAGAGAGAGAAAACAAGAGAGAAAGTGGAAATAAATTCAAAAGCAAGAAAATATTGCCAGATAGAAGTAGGAAGCTAAAAAGCACAGATTTAATTCATATTTCAATTTGAGTCAGATAAACAAACTGTAGGGTAGATTTGGTGAATATATCCAAACAAACATTTTCAAAATAGAAAAAGGCAGAAAAGGATTAATGAAATATAAAATACAGACTTTTATATTATGATATGATATTATGAAGAAAATATTTATGGAGACATAAAATTTGGGAAATAAATTTCAGATTCATGAACTATGTTTAGTTATCATTAAAGCCTTAAAAACTTGTATAATATGCTGCCATCAACTCTAGTAATGCTTTCTAAGAAGGGCTCCTTCAGTTTAAAGGGAAATGCCTTTGTCTTAAGTATGGAATGAATGAAAGTAACTTACGTGTCTATATTGCACTTAATAACCCTGTCAGAAAATAGGGTACAACATTTCTAAGACTAAAAGTATTGTAGTATTTGATACTCTTGTGTCAAGACCTGTGACAGAGATCATAGAAAAGGGGTGTAGGAGAAAAACTGAATATAGATAGAATCTTCCATTAGTTATAGCAGAAACTAATCGTATGCAAAACTGAAAAAAGAACCCTGATGGACTGAATACAAGTGAGATAAACTGAAATCATAGAATCATAGAATCATTTAGGTTGGCAAAGACCTTTAAGATCATCAAGTCCCACTGTAAGCCTAACACTGCCGAGTCCACCACTAAACCATGTCCCTAAGGGCCAAATCTCCAGTAAGCTTTCCTTGGTTGCATACTGCTAGGTTTCCTGATGGA